AAGTGTCCTTTTTCCTCGTTTAGAAAACTTCGTGAATTCACTCGTATTTTTGACCAAAACTGTTAATTGTGACTGCATTCTCAGCAGAAAGCTGGTGAGTATACGGTATTGCATTACTGCAGCAGACACACACCTAACATGCAGGATTTTTTTTAAACTGAGGTCTTTTCGTCAAATCACGTCATTCGGCAGCAGAGGACGAAAACCAATGACGGCAGCATCCGTGGGAACCGAAAACATTTTCAGCGCTAAACATCTGGCAGCAGTTCAACTTCTTATAATGTTTGCCTATTACATAAAGGCAGAAATTGGCCATACGCCGCGGTAATTGCAGAACACTCTTTGAGTTCAAAAAATTTGTCGGAAATATTTAGTGTCTAAATTATCTTACTACTCAGGTCCTCGTAAAACGGTTTTTCTCCTGTATGGCATGTGATTCAAACAGTTTTTTCAGCTTCTACTTTTATTCCAAAACGTTTAATACAAGATTGTAATTTGCTTCTATCTTGAAATAATCTTCTTTCTGAACATCAAGCTTTTTTCATCATTTTGCTTTTCTGCACCTAGATTTTTTACTAAATTCTGAGAAGATTTTTAAAAATAATTTCAGTACGTAAAAACCGTGGTTTAACAGCAAATACGCTGTACGGTATTTCGCTGCATATCAAATTTAAGGAATTTTGGAAAGCGTCATACCTACCAAAAAAATTCATTAAACGGATATCCGTTGTGACATCACTGTTAATAGCTAGTTTATCGCGAGAAGTGGCAACGTTTATTTGCAATGGATTCCTTGCCAGATCATCCGCGTTCAATGACGGGTAATCTAAAGCGGGAATAACCATCTTTTTTCCGCCTTATGTGACTGTAATTTCCATCACACAGGAACTGGTGTGTGTCAGACGCAATAGAAATAACGTCACGAGCGATGAGTAGCAGGAATAGATAGACTGATACCTTTGTTACTGCTGATTAGGGATTCAATGTGTGATTACAGTGGTGATTGGCATTTGACGCAGCAACGAGTCAAGTAACGAAGGTTTTAGAAAATCTACTGCTAAACTGCTGGCAATCACAGTCATTTGAATGTAATTATCTGTTAGGAAATGGCAAACTTCTTTGACAGTAAGACTTTAACTTTATTTACTCAAAAACAAACGTTGTGATAACTGCAAAAAATGTATTTAAGAACAATTGGTTATCAGTTTTAATAACGGCATTCGTACAGCATAGAAAGCCCGCAGAGTGAGTAAGGACCAGTCCAGTTAGGAACACTACTTTTCAATCAAAATTCTTTGCAGGTTGCAGCTTAAAACTGCTAATGTTGTCTTTTTCCGTTCTTGACAAAGTGAATAATGTACATAAATTACGAACTTCAATTAAAAACTTTTCTCAGTCAATACGAGAAAATGATGACACTGATAAGAAATGCATTGCTTTTTCTTCCCGAGTGTTTTTCTCAAGCGCTCACATAAGCGGTTACTTTTTTTAAAGAATAAGAGTTATTGTAGATCATACCTTTACAGTAATTATTGCTTGGAGTAAATTACTGTTACTTTTTTCTTTTTGTGCAATTAAACGTCAGTCAATTACAGAAAAAACAAAGTTTCAGAACAATAAAGTTTGAATTGCAGGCCGTCTTACATTTTTCCTGGTTGTTTTTCTTACGACTGTTTTTAGAATGTTAGTAAAAGTTAAACTTGCTGGGGTCTAAAATTTTGAACAGATAAAAATTTTAAAAGCAGTGCTGTAAAAAACGGTGAGGTAACTGCTCTTTGCTCTGTATTTCTTTGTTTGAAATCAAGCGCTTTACAGTAGTGCAGCGTCATTTTACCCTGACCAGTCGGTCTTACTCAAACGCTGAACAACTGAGAAAGAGCGCAAATATATACCATATGGAATTCAATGACAAAAACTGATCATATTTTACAATTTTATTGTAATGTTTTTCTATGAGAAAGTTGTTACGAAAATGTGTTTAAAATCATCGA